AGACATTTTAATTATCAAATTCGACTGGCCAAAATGATTCTGTGCTGTGTTACCTATTCAAAAGAACTATACAAATGACCTTTGATTGGTCAACAATGGTTAAGCGCCTCTTGGCATCAGCGATAAGATCAGCAACCTGGCTATCAGCCTCATCCACTTAGTTGTCATCATCCATCTCAAGGACATGTGGCAGCCAGGTGGTTGAAAAAATTGACGGGCAAGATGGTTGAACTCGGGATATCGTTTGCGACGTGAGTTTCCGAATTTCATCTGACGTCAGGTTTCTCATGGTCCTGACAACTTCACAGCATCAAGTCTTTGTTGATCTTCTTCGCCCCCATCATCATTCCTCGGGCCATCAACTTCTACCGCAGTTTCCGAGTTGCTATAGCATCACGTCCCACGCCTCGTCCCCTCCCTCAGACTACCCGCCGCGCCCTCAATGTCCTGTTCTTCTCCATCCTGCTGTGTTTTCTCCTCAGCCTCCCGTTCAACCCCCATGCTCCTTCTCCAAGTATATTTACCCTGACCCGATCGCGCATCAACACCCCGACCGATGTCATTTTTAGCAGGCTGGCACGGTTTCGGCCAGACAATACCTTGAGCGAAACAGACAATTTGCTGCGATCTAGGTTTACTTCAGTGGTGGCGCGGCGTGTGTACTTGCGCTACGGACCCGATGCATTGACATCCTGCGAGTATTGTTCGCTCGACAACCTGAAAACATACCTCCTGTACTACCTCCCCTTCAACACATTGGTCCCTCATCTCTTGCATATGGTCCTCGTGGGCTTGGTGACCTCGGCACCCTTCGCCGGTCGGGATGCTGCCAGCTGGCGCAATAAGTTCACCATCGCCGGGTTGGCTTTGGCCGCCATCGACATCTACATTGTCTCGACATACGACCCCGTTCAGTCTGCCTCGGCTGCTGTACGAGCAGGCATGGTGCCGCCGTCGAGCTTGTACCACCAAATCACCCTGCTCCGTCCGCTGGTGTTTGCGATCTTTGACGGGATCTGCGCGCTGCTAATCTATGTAACCGCCACGAACCGATTCTTCTTCGCGCCTCCCTCGCAGGCCGACCAAGTCGACCAGCTGGTCTCGACTTCGCTCACGTCGTTGGCTGGAGCTAGCTCGAAGTTGCACGCAGTGAGCGTGGCGCGGAATGCCGTTGTTAGAGATAAAGTCTTGAAGGACCGAGATGATACGTATTGGCGGACTGTTGTCGCGATGAGCGCAAGCAACACGGATGGCGATGCTTCAATGGCTCCGAGCACTATCTGGGAGGAAGAGGAAGTGGTGCGAGCCATGTCCCGGGCGATGGCGGGACAAGGAGGAGTAGATTTGGCCAAGCTTGGTGTCAGCGCGGCTGAATATGTCAATGGCGTTACGGCAGGCTTAGATGAGGTTGATCGGCCAGAGAGGTAACCAACTCCGCCAGAGTAGTTGGTGCGTCAAGCTCAATCTAAGGTATGCTCATCGCCTTGTTCAGACACATTGGTATATACCACAATCATCTACATACTCTAACGAAATTATCCCTTACTCTAATTCGTTTAGTATGTATGTCTGGGACGACCTGATCGCATAAGGAACTCAATGATCAGACGACCAGGAAGCCTACATTAGCTGCAAAAGTAGTCGATGCGGGACCACCTCTGGATAGAGGGTGTGAAGTATTCAGCTGCTGCGATTGGGGGGAAAGCGAGTGATGCGGGACAGCAATGCGGAGGCCGGGAACTTTATTCAGACCATGGCAGGCAAGGTAATTGTAAGGAAAGGGTCCAGAGGGCATTTGTTGATAGGCGGTGAGCCTGATTGTTGATGTATTACGGAGTATACGACCTGAGCTGTGTATGATCAACATGAAAGTCCCTATCGTACCTACCTACCTTACGTGAGTGCTAGGAGCGTAGGGTACATGGTCGACAGTGGGAAAGTACTGCAAATAGCAAATTCGAAGTACACGTCTGTAAGAGTCGAAAAAGCCATATTGTGGGGTTCCCTGTGGATTGTCTGGATATTTCGAAACAATCCCCTCATCATCCTTTGTTTCATTGGCGTAATAAATTACGTTCCGCTGTTTCCATGTGCCCACCAACATACGTACCTCGTCTCTTCTCTTTTCCAAGGACATTGGGATACTTACGAAAGGCTAAGTCTACCTCTAGGGCTCTAACAGACGAGGCCGACTTTTCCTTAGGTTGTTTTCCAATTTCTGTCTTTCACTGTCATTGACACCTGTCACTGACACCATCTCTACTAACATACTATTTTGTTGGCTCTTTTCTGTGTGTCTGCCATTGGCACCAAGAAAGGACACCGTCCCTCATCTCAGCCGTTTCTCTCAACCCCCCCCCAACAGGTACCCGCTGCGGAACAGCGGGTCCCAGTGGCAGAAAGTCACAGAAGTCTGGTTATTGTCAAGTAGCTATTCCAAGGTACATCCCGGAGCAGTTCCAGGTACTCTCTTTTTATCCGACCAACCTATCTGCGAAACTTTCGTCCATTATACTCATTCTCTTGGTGGCCAGCGATTGACTTTTTGTAATTTCCTTCGCAGACACGGTTACTGTTGCTGCTCCTTCCAGCATCAGTGATCATCCCTAGATCTCCGGGATCACAAAACCGCCGTCATGGGAAAAGAAGAGTCCTCGCAATCGCAATCTGTTTCGGAGATTAATACTTGTGTGTCCACCGGTCACCGAACTGTCGTCAAAGAAGCGACCTTTCGAGAATGGATGGACGCGAATCAAATCGGTATGCGTCTATCCTCCAACTTTCCTTGGGTCGGAGCCCATTGATGGGTTTACACTGCTCCAATCCGTCGCTTAACCCGGTTCTGCGCCGGAGGAACCCAGCGCATGCGCTCTATCGTCATTGTGACAGAGTTGGACTTAAATGACTGACCGTTGCTCTGTTTATGTACTTAGGAATCTCGTCGATTATCCTTGCCACGCTGTTGGCTGCTCATAACCTCTACCCCACCCTCCGACCGTACACGGCGCCGTTCTTCCAATTGTCATACTACCAGCCTTCCGAAGGGGTCTACGTACAGGGCTTTGACGATGTGTACTTTGTTATCAGCTCCGCCATCACGTTCACCGCCGTCCGAGCGATTGCCATTGAATGGATTTTCCGACCTGCTGCCAGATATGCGGGATTGAAGCGGAAGGCTTCAAATCGGTTTGCCGAGCAGGCGTGGATGTGGATGTACTATGCGTTCTTCTGGACCTTTGGAATGGTTTGTCTCGCTGCACCCATTTTGTTTCTGACCTGTGCAACTGACATGTAGGGAATAGTATATCTGGTCAAACTCTTATTACTGGATGGATTTCAAGGCTATTTGGGCTCAATGGCCCGCGCGGGGTGTCTCTGCAAACCTGAAGTGGTATCTCCTGGCGCAGCTGTCATTCTGGTTCCAGCAGATCCTGGTTATCAATATGGAAGAAAGGCGAAAGGATCATTACCAGATGTTGACTCACCACGTCCTCACCAGTACTCTGTTGACATCTGCCTATATCTACGGTTTTTATAATGTTTCGAACGTTGTCCTGTGTCTGATGGACATTGTCGACCTGTTGTTGCCGGTATATCATGAGATCCATCCTTACTCCGAAAAGTGGCCGAGCTGACATTTACGCGACAGACTGCCAAGATCCTCAAGTACTTCAAGTTCGAACTTTGCTGCAACATCACCTTCGGTCTGTTTATGGTGACCTGGTTGATTACGCGTCATATTTTCTACCCGCTACTCTGCTGGTCTATCTACAAGGATGTCCCTGATGCGATGGCCTACGGCTGCTATTCCGGTACAACTGCGGAGATGATTTCCGCCGACGGATACCCGAACCGCTTCCGCTACCTCTTTAACCCGTTCTTGGACATCAACGGTCCCATCTGCATGAATCGCACCGTCAAGTGGATTTTCCTTGGTTTCCTTCTGGCTTTGCAATTGCTCTCTCTCATATGGTTTGTGATGGTTGTCCGCGTGGCCGTAAACGTTCTCCGAACCGGAAATGCCGAGGACACTCGGAGCGACGATGAAGAGGAAGTGGACAACCGATCTGTGGGCAAGGTCTCGCCCAACAGCAACACAGTCGGCGTGGACGGGGCGAATGCCGACTGGCGACGAGCCTCGAACGGCTCAGCCAGCCTGCGACCTCGCGCGCGGGGACGGATCCCACTCGGCGACCAGAGCGATCGCAAGGCCCTCCTTGGCAGAATTGGGTGCGACAAGCCGACGTAGAATCCTCTAATGTTATGCCATGGATCCGCCCAGCGCTTGTGCTTCTTTTAATGTTATTATGATTTGTGCCGATGTTCCAGCATCAAAATGAACTACCTCGAACTCATTTACCAAAAAGCAAAAAGTGGGAGAAGTGCGGAGGCAGCCTCAATACCCAGCAGTATTCTTTTCTACGTTTTCGTTAGACCTCGATGTGTTCGATACATGGGAATCGATCGATTTGTTTTTTATCTTATGATTTGCCCCTACGCTATGCCGCAGTTGACGGGGAGGTCCGGCAGGATTAATTGTTTGTTATACCTTTCCTCCTCGTCTATGGATGATTGTCTACCCTGGACGGTGATCTTGTTTTTTACTTCGATGACGTGCTGGATGGACGGATGGATGGCCGTTGCTTCTGTGTTTCATGTTCTAGAGAGACAGTCCAATACCCGCCTGATTGATGTGCACATACGATAGACCTAGTAACGAGATGGCAATGAGCTTGGATGGATTCTTCTGGCATTCATGAGGTTTCATTCCTTGATTCGAAGGAGTATTGCTTGCTATTTACAGTAGTACAACTATGTACAATGAAATAGATTCTCGGAAGAGTAATACATCTCATCAATCATCACGTCATAATATGTTCTGGGAATATGGGGTTGTTATTCCCGGAGCATTGCCTTTTGATATCCGTCAAGGAACCAAGGCATGTGATTGACCACAATAGTTGTCTGCGGCCGAGGATACGGCGTCAGGACCGACGAGGTTATGATCCCAGGATTTCCTCGCGCATTTCGTTCTCGTCCCAGAAATACTCGCTTGATTGCAGGCGTCTCTGTTGCCGGGCGACCAAGGCTTCCTCGTCAATGCCGTCCGACCCCAGGGCGCATTCCTGCTGGGTTAGGATAAAGTTGATCAGGACCTGCCGGAGACGGTCCCAGATGGTGCCCTGGCGTTTCCACTCGAGGCGTTTGGCAATGCGTACCATGCGGGACACGACCCAGCATCTTTCGCCGGCGTCGCCTGCTTCTCCCTGCGGGTAGCCGCCGTTGTTGAGAAAGATCCAGAGGACAGCTGTGATGCTCGGGTTGGTGAAGGGGTTGAGCCTTTGGACTTCCCGGTCCAGCCAGTCGAGGTAGCGGTCAAAATTGGTAGAGTTGCGATAGGAGTCGTAGAGTGCGACGGCCAGGAAGAACAGACAGGCAATACAGGTGTATTCATCGATGAATCGGATATCCCGAATCCCGTGGTCGTAATCGGGAAGCATAGTCAGAATGGAATGGAGCGGTGTTCCCGGGCTGAAGCGTCTGACGCGAGGAGCTGCACTGCTTCTGGAGACATTCCCAGGAAAGCCTAACGCAGCCATCTCCAGCTCGTGTAGACAGCGGAAAAATCGCAGAAAATCCTCGCAAGCACGATATTGATCGCACAGGCTCTCGGCTGATTCTACCGCTGTTTGCGTGTGGGGAATAGCGAGGTGCACATCAGGAGCAAGAAAGTCCAGGCTCTCTGGAGAAGTGTCGGGTAGGGCACCAGTCCATGGAAGACATGAGGTATAAACCGCTTTGGGTGCGCAGCTTATGTCCACCCTACGCCAAGTCAGCCTGATCATGCATGCTACCATAGGACTGTGCCAAAGCATTACCAGTACAGAACCTTCTCTAAAAAGGGACTAGAAGCCCGCATGCCTCGCATGCCGCCGCGGTTCCGAACCATGGATGCTAGTCCCATGCAGTGCACCCTTTCAATGGAAGCATCCTTTGACCATTTCTTGAGAGTATGAGCGACTCGCAAAGTTCAGATCATAGGGGAACTTTAATTACCTCAATTACTGCCATTGTGGCTACTGCGTATATTGTGCCGTCTTGCAGTCCCTGAGAGTCTGTTTGTATTCGCTCATTTATTAATCGAAGCGCCCGCATTTTATGAGTGAGGCTTTCAACAGAGTCCGCCCTGCCTTCCACTCCAGCTCGATGTTTTGAGGCAATAGCAAGCATCGCCTGAAATGAAAGATTGTCATGCAGCGCAATCTGCCGGAAAATCTCCATCATTGGGTTGTTCGCGACGGAATCGGCAAATTTATACATCATGGATGGATATGTCACAATAACTTTGTAGTGTAAGCCATCAGCCAACATGAAATCAAGATTTTTCAGCCAGATGCCCCTCTTGCTCTGCTTCAAGCTCTGCATGATATGTATAGGAGTACGGGCTCCCAAAGAAGAACTTACAGTGTTGAATTAACTCATGGTCAGAGTGACTAACAGGGATTGGATAGCAGCTAAATGGATCCTCCATGACCCCATGACCAGGGCTGGACCGAGGATCTGATAGTGTATAGCTAACGATGGGAAGGGAAGGAGAAGGTGGCTCTTCAGCTTTGACATCGGATGATCTTGACCCTAAAGGCATCAGTGGCCCTATCCCACTCTCTGGGATGCATGGCTCCCCATATTTTACCGGAGATAATTTCTCCTCCTCCGCAGAAATGTCTTTGACAGGGACTTCAACTGGAGAGGGTGGACTGCTGGATGATGAAGCTTCCGACGGTACCTGGCGGCTGACCCAGCCGCCGATTGGCAAACGAGGCGTCTCCAGTCGAGCAATGCTGTCCAAGCGCCGCTGACGCATATATTGCCGCATTGCATGGCGGCGGACCTGACGCCGTGACTCGTTATCTGTAACGAGGACGATCTCGAAGTTTTTGGACTGCGGGCTCTGTGCTTGCTGAACCGCCCTAGGAGACGGGTTTCTCGATGATCCTGTCATATCCCCCGCATGGCGACCAGATGACCGGCGCACAGGTAGAGCACACAAAAGGCCGGCTTCATTTGGAATTGGCGCATCCTGATAGGGCTGTCTTTTTGAGGATGCATTCGTGTTATCCTCCTCTCCCGTCATCTCATGATCCAGCCTTGGCCAGGCGAGTAGGATGATAGTACAGTTCAAGCTTATAAGCGATAGAGTGGGGAAGATCCGGTCCGGCTTGTCAGTGGAGAACACTGACTCGCTCCTCGGACAATTAAGCAACGTTCGTTACGCGCTGGATTTCATTGGGGCCTTGATCTGAATCCGCTGGTCCCTCTGAAGAACAGAAGTGATCTAGACTAGTTTAACGGGAAATTGCACAACTCCAATGTTTGGCGTCATCCCGATTTCCCTTTCGGGCTATAGTGCCCCACATCCTATAATCACGTGATAATCAGCCATGGACCTTGACTCAGCGGAACCTCCATAGTATCCAGCGGTTTTCTGGAGCACACTGGGTGTCTAGAAAGTAATTGAATTGAACTATCATTCATGCGCGCAGTCTTCTCGGATACGCGCATTCAATGTCATTTAATTAAGCCTTCTTGATCCAGGTACTAGTTGAGCATTATAAAATGATGATCCAACGCAATTCCTGATTCATGAAATACGAGGTGCATAACTCCACTAAAGATCGTTGCCTGCGGTATTGATTCTCAGTGGCTGACTGGCCTCCTAATGCCCTGAATTCCGTAACACAATGTCGGCCCATCCCGCTGACAGATAGCCTGAGGGCCCGAGCCTTCTGGGATTCATGACTTTCGCATAAAACTAGCCATTCATGGTCAAGAACGGATGCTTCCACTAGTATGCGCAGCTGATAGGAAGCTATGCGGGAATGATTGAAAGTAACCTCATTGTAGCGGTTGAGTGAGCTTTGCTTTCGAGCCCGATAGCGCTATGCACAGAGTCGGCCAGCCTGTCAGCAATTCACCAGTGTTCTGCCGCCTCGGGCAGACTGAACACTGTAACTTTCAGAACTGCGCTGATAGCATCCTCGCGGGACGAATTGAAAGCCTGCTGTCTCACCATCCTATGTGGTGAAGCCTTCCAAGATATCGCAATTGACAATCAGAGTATTCATCAATCAATCAAATATTCAACCTCCGTTTTTCCGAAGTCTCGCAAGGGCTGCGCTAATGCCTTCACTCATTTCCTCTTGGTTGGATTGTTGCGGAGTGTCGACTTCAGAGGCTCCTTTTTGCGCCTCCACCTGACTCCTCTGTTCCGCTTCCGAAAGGTACAAGGCTGCTTCATAATCATCATCCATATCTACAGGCCCTGTACTGCTCACAGTGCCGAGGCCCGACGATCTGGGCTGTTCAGGCTCAATGTTCCTCTTAGGTGCCTTCGCTTTCTTCGCATTTTCCACCCGAAAGTCTTCCCTCACTGCATTGCTCCATTGACGAACTTTCTTTTCGCCCCAGCCAGGTACAGCACTGATCTGTTCCGGCTGCGCGTTGATAGCGTTTTGTAGACTCCCGAACGTGGATATCAGACTCGCTGCATCAGATTTGTTGATACTTCTGGGAGTTGTAACGAATTCCACCAGAGACTCCTTGTAAGACTGCGCTTGCTGGGTGCGGATCGCGGTCGGTTGAGCGTTTTCGGACGACTTGTAAAGTTCGAGATAGTGAGCTGCTTCCGGAGCCGACCAGCAGAGCATCAGGGTGTAATTATTGATGATCGAGGTCTTTGAGAGTTCCTTCAAGCTGTCTTCGTGATTTGCGATATCGACCATGACCAAGATAATCCGGAGCATGTATTTCCCCCCAAGAGCCTTTATCCGGGAGTATACGTACTCTGGGTGTAATCGATGATATTTCAACGACAAGAACAGGGCACAAGTGGTTGATCCAAGGACATAGTCGGCCGGTATATCTGCATACTCCCAAGGCAACAATTTGATGTGGTTCAGTATTGGGTTGCCCTTTTGCCTGGTCGAAACAAGAATCGCTGAAGGACCAGCTCTGTTGGTAAGCGCCTGCGGTTTTGGTTGCTGGACCTTCGGGGCCGTGGATTGAGTAGTAGCTGAATTCAATGTGATCCCTGCAGCTCGAGGGGTGGCGCTTCCTTCAAGGAGACCATAGTCGGGATCTGCGTTATCAGCATCGACGTCAGCCATTTTGGCGTCAACCTGAAGGCTTCGAGTAGTGCTGTTATCGGTTCGGTTTGGTTTATCTAATCGCAGCAGCCAAAGTTCGGGCCATTGTGCTCACCGCCTGGACCCGCTTTCTGACTGGAAATATTGACGCTGGGAATTTTCTGCCGTTACAAGAAAAAAAAGTGGACGATCTCTACAGCCATGACAGAACAACACAAGAAAGGAAGTTTGGGCAAAAGTAGTGGTAGTCACCAAGACACGCAGACTATGATGGACTCCCCGAAAAAAGACAAAGTTCAGGACGACGAAGTCTCCGCGCAGCCAAGAAGGACCCTCTTCGTTCGGTCGCTTCCCACCTCAGCTACGACCGAGAGCCTTACGGAATACTTCTCCCAATCCTACGTTATCAAGCATGCAATTGTTGTTAATGATCCGGAAACGAAGCAGTGCAAGGGTTATGGTTTCGTCACATTTGCCGATCTCGAGGACGCGCAAGCTGCGCTAAAGGAGTTCAAAGGGTCCGTCTTCGAAGGGAAAAAAATCAGAGTCGACTACGCTCAACCGCGTCACCGTGAGATTGATGAGAATCTCGGCAAAAGTGTACCAGCTCCTGCTGCCCTTGAGCTCAAGAAACAGCGGGAGCAACAGAGAGCAGGTACCCAACCCCCGAAGCTCATTGTCCGAAACTTGCCTTGGAGCATCAAAGAACCAGAAGATCTAGCGGTACATTTCAGAAGTTTCGGCAAAGTTAAATATGTCACGCTTCCCAAGAAAGGTGATCAGCTGGCAGGGTTCGGCTTCGTCGTTTTACGAGGAAAGAAGAATGCCGAAAAGGCACTGCAGGCCGTCAACGGCAAAGAGGTGGACGGAAGAACGCTCGCGGTCGATTGGGCTGTAGAAAAAGAAGTATGGGAGAACTTGAAGAAGGAGTCTGAGAAGACGGAGGAAACCCAAGAGGAAGCGGGATCGGGCGACGTTGAAATGGCAGATGACGCGGAAGCGGCATCCAATAATGAAGATGTCGAGTCTGATGACGACGATGAAGATGACGATATGGACGATGACGACGAGGAGGACGAGGAAGATATGGATGAGGACGAAGAGGATGACGACGAGGGCGACGAAGACGAAGACGAAAGAGCAGAGAAAGAAGACGAGCGAAATGCTTGTACGATTTTCATTCGGAATCTACCCTTCACATGTACAGACGAGACGCTTTACGAGCACTTTACGCAGTTCGGCCCCCTTCGGTACGCGCGAATTGTCGTCGACCCGGAGACAGAACGTCCCCGTGGTACCGGCTTTGTTTGCTTCTGGAAGGTTGAGGATGCCGCATTGTGCGTGCGCGAAGCCCCGAAACAACAAGATACTTTGATCGCGGAGAAGGACAAAGGAAAGAAGTCTTCCACTGCACTCAAGCACTCCATTCTGCAGAATGAGAATTCTGACCCCAGCGGCCGCTATACCTTAGACGGTCGTGTGCTCCAGGTCGCCCGCGCTGTGAGCAAATCACAAGCGGCCAGACTGGAAGAGGAGGGTGTATCAAACCGACTGGTTCGTGATACTGACAAGCGCCGTCTTTTCCTCTTGTCAGAAGGTACTATCTCTCCCAACTCTTCTCTGTACCAGAAGCTTTCGCCGTCCGAGATCAAGATGAGAGAGGACAGCTTCAAGCAACGACAGAACTTTATCCGGAAGAACCCGGCTCTACATTTCAGTTTGACCCGTCTCTCGATACGCAATATCCCACGTCACGTCACCTCGAAGGACCTCAAGCAGCTTGCTCGACAGGCTGTGGTCGGCTTCGCCAAAGATGTCAAGGAAGGTCAACGTCAGCCTCTCTCCAAAGAGGAACTCACACGATCAGCCGAGGCTATGAAAGAGGCAGAGCAGTACCGGAAGTCAAAGGGCAAGGGTATTGTGAAGCAAGCCAAGATTGTCTTCGAGAGTCGAGAGGGCAGCAAGATCAACGAGAACAGCGGAGCTGGCCGAAGCCGGGGCTACGGTTTTATCGAGTACTACACACATCGACATGCGCTTATGGGTCTAAGGTGGCTTAACGGTCATGCTGTGGAAGCCCCTAAGAGCGGGTCGGCGGATATCAAAGATAAGAAGAAGCGACTGATCGTCGAGTTCGCCCTTGAGAACGCCCAGGTCGTTAAACGAAGGAATGAGATGGAGGCCAGGGCACGCGCCAAGAAGGAAAGTCATCAGAGCGACGGAAATACCCCGAGCAAAGACGATTCGAACAGCAAAGCTTCTCTCAATGGCAAGAAGCGGAAGCGATCCGAAAGCCGTGGCAGCGGCAAGGAGCAGGACGGAGACCGCGACGCGGAAGAAGAGAACAAGCTCGCCAAACGCAATCGGATCATTTCTAGGAAAAGGATGCAGCGGAAAGCTCGAAAAGGGAAGGCTTAGTAGGGCTGATCAAAAGTGACTGTATAGAGCTCTATTGTAATTATCTCTATTCCCCGGCGTTACTTGGGTGCATTCTGGCGAAAGAAGCAAAAATAAAAGCATTTGTTATATTGTCCGAATTGGCAATGGAAAACATCGCGTAGAATTTCATGAATTCATGGGGTATAGTACCTTCATACAATAGCATAACCCAGCGCCGGTACTGACCGTAGGTTGTCACCAGGCTCACTAGTAGTTTGTAGCATCCTTCACCTTTCCGACGATATTGTATCTCTTGCTGAAGAAGGTAAACCATTCACTCAACACCGTCTTCTCCTTATCATCCAAATCATACCAATCCGGCCTGCAATCCTCAGGCTTCAGAGACGAGCAGGCAAGGGCTCGAGAAGGATCCTTTCCAGCGAAAACTATACAGAGGTATCAGTAACGCCATGTACAGACCGAGCCAGCAATTGTTTTGCAGTTCAAGGGAAAGGGGAGAATCGACATACCGTGATACTGGCCATTGGGACCATAAGCAGGATTCTTGCTCACATCAAAAACCATTCCCTTGATTGCGACGAGAGTCGGGCGGCTGGGATCCGTGCCTGCAAAAAGCGCATCATAAGTTGAATTTCATTGACGAATTCAACCAAGGAATCACATACCGTCGCATTTGGACAATTCCTCCACTGTGATCGGGTCATCCTTTGGAGGATCCAGCTGAACAGGGACTTTGGGTTCGAAGCGCTTCGGTTCTGGCTCGTGTTCCACCATTGTGATTGTATGCTTAGAGACTTCGAGTGTGGGAAGGGTATTATTAAAAGAAGGTAAACGAAGTAAGAAAAGTTGAAGTTTAGCCCGCGAGAGCTCACTTGTACGCGGGGCAGGCGGGGGAGGTCGGAGGTCGGAGGTCGGCATAACCGTGGATCTTGTCGGCAACTGGCGTCATCGTCTGTGATTGTTCGGAGACTCTCTCTGCTGCTTCTTTTATTGGCTCATCATCGAGCAGCATCAAGACCTCTTCGAGCGCATGGCCATGCAAGCACTCTTGCAGCTAACTTCCGCAGACCTTTAATGTACTTTGTAAATGATCCAGAATCAAGCGACGGGCCTTGTGACAGTGAGCTGTCTGCATTCTATCGTCGACAGTACATCGCCCGGCTCGATTCTCTCTCTTGATTCACTCTGGAGAATCAAGTTTCCTTTCTGGGATGGAGTGGAAGCAAAGGAGATCCATCAATACTTAGCTCGACAGCCTGATGCCTAGAGAGGTACATGAGGGCATGCTGACTCGGCTATCTCTTCAGCTGGAATTTTGAGATGGTACGCAGTAGGAATCTAGACGGCCTGGGTGATTCGGTTGGCACCAATCTACCCCTCGCTCTTGAAGTAGATGTATCTATGATCCCAACATTTTGATACGCCGCATATGCTAATGATTCTGCTTTGTAGTGCTCCTGATGAGGGGATATTCCATTCCTCCTTCGGAAACGCTATAACCGGAGGATGACCCCTGCAGAAGCCTGGCCGCTTTCCTCCGAAGACAAATCCTCATATACTGTTCTCTTTGAAGTGTCCTTGCAGAATTCCCAGAGTAATGGAGACAATTAAATCATCTCAAGTAAGAATGAAAGCGCCACTATATTTCTCGTCAATGTACCATACTATGTCTAGGCGTACTAGATTCACCTAGAGGCTATCATCGATCGCCTCCGAGGATGACGTCAACTGGCATAAGGACGGGTGCATTTCACCTAGAGAGTTGTTTATTGATGAGTGGTGTCATATAATATATAGATAGATAGACATTAGCTGATGGCCACTTGTCTTTCATCGTTGTACAATGCGGGGCAACCTCAAGTAACTTTTGGCATCCGGAAGATCATCAGCTTCGGCTCAAAGCTTTTACCTATCATACTATTATTGCTATAGTTGTCAAGAGCGATATTAGCGAAATGTCCTCTTCCCAGGAAACCCTTTCCAGAACCTTTCAAACAACACCTTCTCCTTCCTCGAATCGTATGACATCTACAGAAACTGGGCCGAATGCTCAAAGGCGCAGTAGGACGACTTCCGTGGACTCCGACATATCTCACTACCTCTACTTCGAAGACAACGATTGCTTTTTCCCACCTAGTGAACTCGGAGAGAAGCCGTCGCCAGATGGAAAAGATCGGAGGCACGGTCCATACGTGGATTCGTCTGTTCAGACCTGAGTCGTGGTTCTTTTGACGGGGACCTCCTTGTCTCTGATGCTTACACTCTCTCTGTTCCGGCTTACCAGACCCGGATGATCATTGATCAGACTGCAGATATGATTTATGACTTTGCATAATGTTCAGATCGCGAGATTATGTTGGCTGTTCGTTTCTGAAATGCGGGGAGAAGGATGAGCGCTTCATGTTACTTGTTCAGAAAACTGTCCAAAAGCAGACAAATTTTATGTGATCGTCTTCTAGTGTCGATTAATGACATAACATTTTCCTCCTGAAGAAGTAGCCATGTTTTCGTAGGTTCTTCTCATGTTGAGGTCGAAATTGAGGTCTTACCGGTCTGATGCAGTGGCTGAGACTAATCCGGTAGTTGATTCCTTAGGCATTCGTGATCAGGCACCATGCCATCGCACGTCAATATTGCTACTCGCATCAGGGTTCAGAAATTATCATTCTCTGTCGGAATCCGCCGGTACTGTGTCATATCTTCATGGAAGTCTATGAGTATTATCTAGTCCTCTGTTCTACTCTTCATTACCTCTGCATCTTTTGTAACCCACTTGAACCTCGGCAAAAATGAGGTTGACTTTCTCCCCAAGAGATGGCCCACACGGCTCTGATATGGTGGATCGACTAAACTAATCTCAGCCTCACTAGTTACCTTTACTAGCCCAAACAGCCACAGTCCTTGTTGCATCCCATGCCCTCCATCGATTTAACTGCGTCTGGACGATTTCCCTCCATTGCCCTCCGTTTGCCTCTGCCATGACTTTCCAAGAGTTACTAACAGCCACTCCGTCCTGCTACTACGCTCGTCATTGTTGAGCTCAGGCACAGAGAGAGTGAACGAGATGCTGGAATTCTTTGCCTTGATGTATGATGGACCGACAATGTCTATCAGTACCTCCAACGCCAGACACGTCGATTTCTATGGGGACTAAGCCTGTGGGGACTTCATCAGTCCTCAAAGTGGCTTCAGACCATCTTTTTCCAGGACGATGTTTTGCTGCCATCACTACTAATCCAACCTTATTCGTCTTACTACGAAGGCAGGGCGCAATGATACTGAAAACCTCTCGGTCTTTCATTGGGCGAGAAATTGGCCGAGCTGAAATCACTTTCGTTTTGGTGGTTGGTGATACTACTTCGATGCCGGCTTTGGTCTAGCTGATTTAGCATCTCCCAAAGTGTCCCGCATTTTAATCTCACATGGGCTTTTACTCTATCTGCTCAATTCGTTAGTCTTGCTTTTCTTACTCTTCTTGAATTTATTTTTTTCCCTTTTGTCCCTTTTTTTTTCTTTTTTTTTTTTTTCCTTTCTTAGCTTCTTCAATCACCTTTTTCCCCTGCTCTATAAATCGTACTCTACGTCGCCCTTTTCGGATCTTCTCTATACTTGGGATGTCGATGAGACAAAACCCTTATCACTTGTCGTGAATCATGTCGAGGCCTAATCCAGACACTAACGCCCATCAGACATCATTGCCGACGGCTATCAGCAATGATAGATCTCACTCGACCGACGACGTCAATTTGGCCACAGCCAATTTGACAAAAAGAAATGGCCGTCCTACGACTTACTCTGAGAAGACTACTGTTATCGAGGATAGTGGAGAATCAATAGGAGGCGCATCGTCGAAGCCCACTTATGATCATACACACCGGAAGCTGAAGCCTAGACATATTCAGCTTATCGGTATCGGGGGCACGATTGGTACAGCTCTCTATGTCCAGGTCGGTAAAAGTTTGATGAAGGGTGGCCCTGGCAGTCTGTTCCTGGCATTTTCGATTTGGTAAGTACTTCGTGCCTAATTTGATTAGTTCTTTTCCCTTTATTTGCCTCCCTTTGTTGTTGCGATCTTGGCCCTGTGTCTCCACAAGTTGAGCTCGTGGCTAGGAAGGAGAAGCAAGATATTTTGCGCGAGCCAGCATGAGAAATGTCGCTATGAGTTGATGTCGAGAAGATATGACGACGAGCCCAGGAAGCTCCAATTGCGCTTTAATGCAGAACATTGTCATACTTAGCACGCGCGCCTTACTTGACTGCCCTTTTTATCAAGCCATGAAATCTTATACATATCTACTTCTAGGTGTTTCGTCATCCTGGCCATTACCGTCTGTACGCAACCCCAGTCTCCAAGCCCCAAATTGCTCTCCCCAGCAATGCCGCCTGCTACCTGGGCTCCAGATGCAGCTCTCCTCATTCGTACCATTGAGTGCCCTGAAGCGACAATCTCCCGTTTCCCTTCATGCTGCCCATGCGACTCCCTGGCTATTCTACACTACGAGACCTTGGCTATGTAGTCCATGCTAAATACAGGTTGCATCCTAGGTCTGGCTGAGATGGTCACCTACCTGCCAATTTCATCACCCTTTATTCGATTTGCGGGCCGCTATGTCGATGAGGCCTTTGGAGTTGCTGCCGGCTACAACTTCTTCATATTTGAGGCTGCCCTAGTGCCCTTTGAGATCACCGCGTGTAATATGATCATAAACTACTGGAGCGACGTTATTCCAGTGAGCGGGGTCATCGTCATCGTGCTTGTCCTTTACATGTACGTAACATTTCCTGAACGACAAAGTCCCCTGCAATGTTTTGAATCGCCTGAATGTTGACCCCTAGCATGATAGACTTCTCAACGTCTTTGCAGTGCAATGGTACGGCGAATCCGAGTTTTGGCTTGCTCTTTCGAAAGTATTGCTTAGCATTGGATTGATTATCTTCACATTCATTGTGATGCTGGGCGGGAACCCGAAGGGAGACCGATTCGGATTCAGATACTGGAACGAGCCGGGCGCCTTTGCAGAATATTACAAGACCGGTGACCTTGGCCGATGGCTTGGTTTCCTTGCATGCCTGATCCAGGCCAGTTTCACCATTGCAGGACCCGATTATGTGTCGATGGCAGCCGGTGAAGCAGTCAACCCCCGCGGAGTCTTGCCCAGGACGTATAACGGTATATTTTATCGACTCACAGCTTTCTTCATTCTGGGTGTACTTTGCATCGGCATTCTCGTTCCCTACAATGATCCTACTATGGCCGAAGCCTTCGCCAAGGGCCTGCCTGGCGCCGCTGCGTCGCCCTATGTCATCGCGATGGACAGACTCGGCATCCCTATCCTCCCGCACATTGTCAACGCCATGATCCTGCTGGCCGCTTTCAGTGCCGGGAATAGCTATGTTTATTGCGCCAGCAGAAGTCTGTACGGGCTTGCTTTGGACGGCAAGGCGCCACGACTGTTCACTAAGTGCACCAAGCGGGGTGTACCAATCTACTGTGTCTCAGTTGTTATGCTGATTGCACTTCTTGCCTTCCTCCAAGTGTCGAACAGCGCATCTGTCGTCCTGGATTGGTTCGTTAACCTGGTACGTGTCGCGTACAAGTCTTGGACTACCTTGGCTTCTACTTCGAGAAAAATGTCTCTAACAGCTGGTAGGTAACTGCTTCTCAGCTCATCAACTTCTCCGTCATCACCTTTACCTATACACGTTTCCGGAAAGCTATGATAGCTCAAGGTATTCCACGCGAATCGCTTCCATACAAGAGTTGTTGGCAACCCTATACTGCCTATGTTGCTCTGGTTTGCACAACAGTCATGGCGTTTGTAGGCGGCTATACTGTCTTTCTGCCTGGGAATTGGGATATCCCGACATTCCTCTTCTCTTATACGATGATTGGAGTGTTTCCAGTTCTGTACTGCTGTTGGAAGATCGTAAACCGCACAAAGACGAAGAAACCGGAAGAGGTTGATCTCGTGACAGGACTTGCCGAGATTGAGGAGTACGAAAGAAACTACATTCCTGACAAACCAAGGTAAGAAAGATCTCGTCGAAACCCGGATCTTCTCGATCAGGCGAACTGATTTGTGCTTTAGCAACGCGCTCTCGAGGTTCGCTGATTGGCTTTTCGCTTAGGCGACCTGTTATATACCTGCCCGCCCTAGATGTTGCAACATTGTACGTCTGGGTATTGTCACGATTATATTATGATTGGCATGAGGATATGTTTGTTGAGAGGGAATGTACAAAGAAACCATGCGAGCATCCCAGAAAAGAAATCTACAATATAGTACAATATAGACCTGAAATGTATCATCCAATAGACCATCGAAAACGCCGTATGCAGTCATCATTTGCCCTCGTCCTTCTCACCCTCTGCCGCCTTTAACGTATCTAACCGTAATTTATTCCGCTTGCCGAGCACACGCAGTGTATTCCGCCTCTCGATCTCAGTCATCTGCTCCCAGTTGGCGATCCGTGACAGCGTCCCATCCTGGTTGACTACCAGCGGACCCAGAGCGTCGAGCTTCACCGTCGACCCACCACCACTGACGTCGAGCTGCGTGGCTTGTGAGTCTGCCGAGGGAGCCTCCGGCAGCGCGAGGACAGGCTTGTTTTGGTCCTGCTCCTGCTCCTGCTGTACTTCCGGTTGGCGGTGGTATTGCGACTGGCTCTCGTTGGAGGCAGAGTCGGCGGACATGGTCGCGGATGTAGAAAAGGTATGTTCTTGGTTGCGATTGTGGACTGAGCTGATTTGCGTGGGATGGTAGAGGTTATAGGATGGGCAGATGGGGTATAATGCTGAGTATGAGCGGAGGTTTGGTGATATTGCGGTTGCCGTCGAGGCGCGGACTCCGATTGACAGAAGAGGATTTAGACTGAGATGGAGGATTGTAACGCGGGATATGGCTTTGAGTGACGTATACATTTCTGGATGATGAGAATAGAGTTTTGAGTGGGAGGTTGAGACGAGGAAATAGTTATAGCGGAGATTGACGTTCTAGAGAGATAAAGTGGAGATCCGCGGAGAGGATTCTAGAATGGCCTTGGAGACCACAACCATGACTGTGCGTCATGCTCAGATAAAATCAGGAATTTCTATGTAAAAGGTCTAATGTACAGAACCAATTTCCAGGCATAATACGACACAGTTAATCTGACTACGAGGATTCCGTACAGTTTCTTCTAGCGGAACCACCAATTTACCTGGTTTTGAGTTAGAGGAGTGAACATTCAAACAGAGGGTAGATGAAACTCACCGACGCAGTGACGCCCTCTCCAACGCCCTTGATGCTATGCCACCACCCCTTTGGTATAAATAGCCCGTCACCAGTTTCCAAATGAGCTTCGTATCCTTCATCTAGCGTATTATTGGCACTGTCCGAGCCTGCATCATCCCAAACGGCCTCCTCCAGCAGAGCCCTTTCCTGTCCCTGCATCATCTCCTCACCCCGGAAAGCAGCAGCCTCGCGATCCCCACTCCGACCCAGTTGGCGCCTGACCGATGCGAATACCCTCTGCCCGGCATCGGGAGCCAGCAGTCGCACAACCTTGTGTCCGGCAATTTGCACGAAGAGATTCGGGTTCGGATCACGGTGCAAAGGAGTATATGTAGGTGGGTGTCCGATCCATACGTTCGTATCGTAAACGTCCCCTTTGCCCGCCTTTAGAACGAGTTCGGGGGTTGGGAAATCATCGCGAAGAACTGGTGGAAGATCAAGGAGCTGGCATTGCGCCAGATAAAGTCGCGTAGCCTGAGACTGCAATTCTGTGGTGCGCATCCAATCTAGGAACAGACTCAATGGGGCGTGGAACTGCCGGAAGCTCAGCTCGTTCGATTCAGGTACAGTTGCGCCCAGCGCATTGCTTTCTGTGGGCGATTGCGTGAGCTCAAGAGGAACGAATGCATCCCCGCCATGCTCTTGTAGATACGCCGTATTTAATCTGCGGTCATGGCCGTTGGAGGAAGGGACCGCTTGGAACCATCGCTCACATGCTGGAAGATCGCGAAAGTGCCGACGGGGGAGAAGGACCGGAAGTTCTGGGTGGAAGTAGCTACTGCGGAATTCATCAATTTCAACCTCGCGGAGGGGTTTCAGGGGATGATATCGGTTCTGAGAGTTTGAAGATATCGAGCGTCCATCCCTGGAGCTGATTAACGATATTGACCCCGGTTGTTTGCTGCTAACAACAACACGTGATGGCCGCTTGGGAGCCCACAGGTTATTGCGGGAAAGCAGCCATTGCTGATGCTTCATCCAGAACAACTATGCCAATGCTGCCACTTCGGTTGATTTCAGAGAGTCGTTATCTTTTCTAGAGGATGAAGGGATGTCTGTATCACAAGGCGGAATCAGAGGATTGTGCCAGCTACACAGCCCGACACAAAGGTGACGTTTGACGGGAACTAAGGTATCTAGCGCCGTAGATCTTCAGGTCAGGTCCCATCCATGGACCATATCGAATCACCCTCCACCTTTGGCTGCTCCTGTGGAGAATATGACGATCAGTAATCATTATCGAACATCGCATGATCTCTAGCAGTCAAGCACCAGAGAAAAAGCAATGGTTCTCGGTTGACGGTGGTCTTGACCCGTCCCCTTACTGAGTGAGGCGCACAAAGCATGATGTTTCCTCGGTCGATCCAATCTGAGCGTCATAAACCACCGAACAACCGAGGCGAGGCCGCTCCTCTCAAGCTCCTGTGGCGTTGTCGAGCCTGGCTTCCCCTCATTTGAGATCCATGTTAACAATATTCTCTGCTCTAAATAAATGATAAGTTGCAATAGTATGCCTGATCATGCCGGGGAAGCCCCAGAATTCCCTAGGAATGTTGGCCCACATAAGTTGACAACCCTCTCCGCTGTTTATACCTCTATCATTCCAAGTCTTTTTTTAGGAATTCTATGCTTTCTTGCTATCTCCCTGTTGTGCCTTCAAATCTATTACAACTGATCAGACAAGATGCCCTCTTCGGTGGCAAGGATTCACAAACGCCATTCATATGCCAAAGACGCTCACACCTACTACCCGGTCCTCGTGATTGGCGCAGGGGTGTCTGGCATTGCTACAGGATGTCGACTCAAGGAAGCTCTGGGCTTTGATCAATTCAGAATCTTTGAAAGGCAATCGGGTATTGGAGGTACTTGGTGGATCAACCGCTACCCAGGAGCCGCATGCGATGTGTATGGACCTCTTAAGGCAAATATGCTCTGTCGAAGCGACTTTTGCTGAGTGTCTATTAGGCCCGCGCTGTTGTACTCTTTCTCATTTGCTCCAAAGAAAGACTGGACTACCCTACATCCCCCCGGATCGGAGATTGTTCAATACCTGGCTGATGTCTGCGAGGAGTACGAGATAGTCGACAAGATTCAACTCAACACAACTGTCAAAGAACTGCGATGGTTAGAGGATGCGGAAGAGTGGCAGGTCACGTTATTGCATCTTGTTCCTGGTACCGGGGACTTATCCGAAGGGGAAAGAAATGTGCGAATATCCAAAGAAGGCGAGCGCAGTGTCTATGTCAAAACAGAGATTGTGCGAGCAAAGATTGTTGTCAGCGGTGTGGGTGTGCTTGTCGAGCCTAAAAAATGGCCTGCAAATGTACCCGGGATTGAGATGTTCGAAGGCGAGGTCGTCCATACAGCTCGATGGAAGAGCGAAATTGATCTGTCAGGGAAAGACGTTGTCATCATTGGCTCTGGCTGCAGTGCAGCACAGGTAGTCCCTGAGCTGACGAAACCCGAGTCCAAGGTCAGGTCGATCACGCAGCTCATGAGGTCGCCTCCCTGGTTCATGCCCGATTTCCTGACGCCGATGTCGCTCAAAAAATGGGAGAAGTACACGCCGCCATTGTTCAAAAACGTCCCTGGTCTTGCGTTCGGTGCAAGGGCTTTGCTGTTCTTCTTATTGGAGTGGGATTTTATCAAAATCTTCCGGGACAATGGGTATTCCCGTCGGAATCGTTCCAAGTTAGAGGGGAAATTCCTAGAGCACATGCGAGCGACTGCTCCAGAGAAATATCACGACATACTCACTCCCAACTACAGTCTAGGCTGTAAGCGACGAATTGTAGAGGCCAACTACTATGCCAGCATTCATGCGCCCAATTTTGAGCTGACGACGAAGCCCTTGGTAGGCATCCAAGCCAGAAGCGTGACATTAGGCCCTGGTCGACATTATCCGCCGGAAAGTAAGGGGTCAACGGATGAAGTGAGACAGATACCGGCGGATGTCATTATTATGGCCAACGGATATGAGACCAATAAATTTCTTCATCCTCTCCCGGTTTTCGGTCGGCGCGGCAGAACCCTTGACGAGATTTGGGAGGAGCGTGGAGGAGCACAAGCTTACCTGGGCATTGCCATGGACCATATGCCGAATCTCTTCCTTTCGTTTGGCCCGAACACAGCGACCGGCCATACCAGCGTCATTTTCGCGGTTGAGAATGCCGTCAATTACTCTCTGAACTTCATCAAACCCATTCTTGAGGGACGCGTCAGTTGTTTCGAGGTGAAAGAAAATGCTGAGCGCGACTGGACGGACAAAGTACAGAGAAGTCTTCAAGGCACCGTCTTTCGACGCGGAGGTTGCACAAGCTGGTACCAAACTGATGATGGTTGGAACTCGTCCACCTATCCGTGAGTCTCCTACGGCTAGTTTAAGACACAACTGATAGAAGACACCCGCCGATAACCTTGTTTAGATTTAGTCAGATTGACTACTATTTCAGATGCACGTTTCCTGTGTGGCACCACTGGACAGCTAAGTATACACGCAAGGGACTCGTACTTCAGAGATTGAAGACCGTGCTGAGGAGATTTGTGCTCGTAGCAATCATTTCCAGCCTGTTCTGGTTCAAGACGCATCCTAAAGATACTCTACAACGGCAGGTCGAATTCTTTAATGCAGTCGGAACTACAGTAGTCTCAGCTATCCGGGAGGGGTTGCTTCGCGCTCATCAAATGCTGTTGTGATTGATTTTGGCGTTAGAAATGATCTACTGAACCAGCGCTTGGTGATCGTTTGAATTTCAAAGATATATTTATGGCTGTCATAAAAGATTATCTATCTATCTATCTATCTATCTATCTACCTAACCTATCGTAATCGCGAGATGTGCTATGTTACTCCGG